AAAAAAAAAAAATCAAATTGAATAAAGAGGAGAAACCCCAAATACCCGGAGACTCCTCTGGAGGAAAATTGTAGTTTCCCAAGGTCCGGTGGAAAACAAAGCCGTGCAACACCCGGGCACGTCTTATATGGAGAATTTTGCACAGAAAAGAGCAAGGTAGAGGAAGGGTTTTCTTTAAAAAACCAGCAAACAAAGCCAATTCAGATGGCAACCTCCGGCGATCACGTGCTCATTTTTATATAAACTATTCCTCTCCACGCTTGCCCAGCGTTGAGAGCGCTTCTTCTGCAGCGAGAAGACACTCTTGGAGAAATTGCAAGCAGCTTTTTCACTTATACCTGCAGGGAGAAAAATTCCTTGGCAAGGTTGAAAGGTTTTAAAAAAAAAAAAAAAAAAAAGTGCTAAACTTTCATTCTAGCAAAATATTTCTAGTAGTCGTATTTCTTCCTTCGCAGGCAAAGCGTGTAGGAAGGTATGCACGTATCTCTGCAAGGTATGTATGTAGCATATCCATAGATGTGCCAGGGAGAAAGAGGGATGGGAAATGTGGAAAATAGGTTTTCCACTTTCGGGAGCTGTCCATGGAAGACGAAAAAGCACCTAAATGAGTTATTTTAGCAAAATATTTCTAGTAGTCGTATTTCTTCCTTCGCAGGCAAAGCGTGTAGGAAGGTATGCACGTATCTCTGCAAGGTATGTATGTAGCATATCCATAGATGTGCCAGGGAGAAAGAGGGATGGGAAATGTGGAAAATAGGTTTTCCACTTTCGGGAGCTGTCCATGGAAGACGAAAAAGCACCTAAATGAGTTATTTTATTGGCACCTGATTTTTTTTTTTTTTTTTTATGGGGCTGGGAGGGTGGTTGACGGAAGCCCCCGTGTTTTGCCAGCCGAGGGGAAAAAAAAAAAAAAAAAGACTTTATCCTTGAGAAATATATAAAATATTGGAGAGGGAGGTTGGTTGCTGGCTGGAAAGGCAGCAGTTGGGGAGGTGCGGCTGCACCCGCCCGGCTCAGCCTCCGCGGAGCGCCTCCGCCCCCGCGCAGTGGTTTTACCTCTACAGGAATATTTACGGTACTTTGCAGAGTCAACCTGGCAAGGGGAGCGCTTGGGAGTTGCTTAAGGCAGGGAGGAATGCAAAGCCATGCAAAAATCCAGCAAACGGGGTGGGCATTTTGGGTTCTTAAAGAATAAAAAGGAGGGGGAAGGAGCAAGGGGGAAAAAAAAAAAAAGAGAGTGAAGAAAAAAACCCACTCCAAGACAATAATCTAAAAACACCCTCAAATGTCTTTGCGTGTTCCGGGTTTCCATACAATGCACCTTTTCCAGTATCTTTTTTTTTTTTTTCCCTTCCCACAACGCATTTATTTTGCACTGCAAGAAGCCAATATTGATTCCCCCCCCACCACCTTTTTTTTTTTTCATCCCTTGTATTCCTTTGCAGCAGCTCTGTTCAGTATGACCAGGAGAAGCCGATGGGTGGGAGGGAAGAAGAGCTCTGTAGTGTTACGAGGGCAGAATATATTGCTATAAGGTGGCGAGGAACCAGCTCTGTGTGTATGTGTGTGTGTGTGTACCTCTGTTTCCAGGGGTGGGGACCAAGGAAATGTGGGGGAGGACTAGAATTGTTATTCTTTCCCAGAAACGAAGCAAAAAAAAAAATAAAATTTCAACACTCATTCTATACGTGTGCGCGCCTTGGTGCATATGGAATATATACCGGGTAAATTAAGGCTATATATAGTCGTGTTCTTCTGGCTGCTTTATTCGACACAGATCATTAATAAAAGCAATTGAGGATTGTTAAAAAAAAATCTTCCAGCTCTTCTTGAGAGAGTGGCAAGAGCCTGGGAAGAGGCTGCGTTTCCCCAGCCCATGACAAAGCCACCAAGTCCGAGAGGAGGGGAAAGAAAATGATAATAATAATCATAAAAAAAAAAGAGTAGAAAAGGTCGCAAATAGCCTCCAACTCTCCCATCCCACCGCGCGTAAATATGAGCCTGTTGCGGGCACCATCATTCGTCTCCTTAAAAAGCCCGTAAACTTTATATGACACAATATCTAATAGTAATTTATTGGGGAGATATTGTAAATTCGAACTGTTTTAGTTAATAAAGGAGCTAATTAATGAGAACCAGCCTCGCTTTTGCAGATGGTGGAGGGCTCCGAAGTGTTGCCGAGGGAGGGGCGCGCAGCGGTTTTGGGGCAGGCACCATCATTCGTCTCCTTAAAAAGCCCGTAAACTTTATATGACACAATATCTAATAGTAATTTATTGGGGAGATATTGTAAATTCGAACTGTTTTAGTTAATAAAGGAGCTAATTAATGAGAACCAGCCTCGCTTTTGCAGATGGTGGAGGGCTCCGAAGTGTTGCCGAGGGAGGGGCGCGCAGCGGTTTTGGGGCAAAACCCTCTCCTATCGATTATTTGATGCTAA